GGGAAAAGACAGACTTGCTGTGTTCAAGGATGCTGGACTAGACCTGAAAATGAGCACAGGGATGGACACCCTGGCAAGCTCAGGTACAGAAAGGGGGTGGGAGGTGGGCAGGAGGAAATAAGGGATAAAGGCAATGGTCTAGTGGTTAAGAATATGGGGTTTGGCATCAAAAAAAAAAAAGAATTAAAATCCAGGACTCTGACACTTACCATGGGCCAGTCACATTTCCTTTCTGAGTCTCAGTTTCCCTGTCCATAAAATGGGGATAATAGTGCAAGTAACTCACTGTGTGATGATTAAGATATAGTTTTGTCCATGTGTATCAAAGATACAGATTAACATTAGCTTAAAAAAGAGAGTTTATTTCTCACTCAATACCAGTCCAGAGGTCATTCTGGGACTCAGGATCCTTCTGGCTTATTGTTCTGCCATATTTCAAGATGGCACCTCAAGAGAACCTCAATCCAGGATGAAAGGAAGGGGGAAGACCCCACCTAGGTGCAAGGGAAGCTGGGAAATGTACTCTTCATTCTGAGTGATACGTAAAGACAGAGGTTTAGTTGCCACAGTTGTGGGGAGGAGAAAGGATATTAGGGCCAACCAGGAGTGTGTTCTTTCAATGACAAATAGTGATATTAATAACAGTTTCTATGTACTGCAAGCTAGACCCTGTGCTAAGCACTTCTATATACATGATCTCATTGATAGAACTATGACTATACTCATTTTACATAAATGGGGAAAATGACACCCAGAGGTTAAGTGACTCGCTGAAGATCTCATAGCTTTTAAGTGGTAAATTCTGAATATGAGGAGGCCATGGAATTTTTCAGTCTTGTTGAGCATTTTGCTCTTTGAGCAAAAATGATGTGATGTATATAAAGCACTGGGCATACAGTAAGCACCCAATAGATATCATCAAGGATGTTTTCAATGATCTTAACAATTGTCCTCACTGTTCCCTCTGACCCCCAGACTGGCGCTGCCCCCAGAGCCCACCTCCCAGCCGCCGCCGCCGCTCCCTAAAGAGACTGGAGACCAAGAGGAACGCAGGTCAGAGTTAAAGCTGGATGTGCCCCTCTCGGCCCTCTAACCTACTGTATTCGTCAGGGCTTAGGACAGAAAACTGAAACCATTAAAGGTACTGCAAGCAGAAAGGGAAGGATTTAATTGTAGGAGTTCGGTGCTTCCAAAATCATTTGACAGGCTACAGGAGTGGAAGGCTACTTGGTGGGACTCAAGATCGCCCCACTGCAGTTCTTGCAATGTGTGAAATCTCAGGAAACATCTCTCATGAGGTTCGTGAGTAGACAGTGGACTGTGGAATTTTTCCCCTTAGAAAAACACACATAGACAGAGGCTCACCCATAAGCTACTACTGCTTCAGGGAAAATGGTCTCTGCTTCTCTTCCACCTTTTAAATCTTACACATGAGCATCTCACTGGCAGAATCTCATTTCATCCAACTCTAGCAGGAAGAGAGTCTGGGAAATGTAGTTTTTAGATGTCAAGCCTCTGTGATACAGGAGAAAACTTAGACAGAAGGAGAAATGGGTGCCAAGTGCCAGTGGATAATAGCTAGCTCTAATCCTGGATCTCAAGGAAGATGGGAATGTGGTGTTGCCAGCATGCATTGTATGAATATCAGATTTTTCAGTCTCTTTGAGCAATATTAATGACTTGATGGACTCTAAATAAAGGGAAAATAAGTGCAATCTAATACAAATTGAGGTAAAACCCGAACTCTCATTACAGTATCAAAAATCATGTAACATTCTGGGGAACATTTACAATATATACTTATGGTAATGATTAGTTATGTTATTTAACTATGCATATTCTAATTGTGTTATATGGTGGACAATAAGATTTTTAAATTGCTATAATTTTTATTTAAGTACATTCATTCAGTTTGCTAATTTAGAAGCATTCAAGTTGACATCGTGCCTTGAAGCAAGTTCTACATTTTCATTTCTTAAAAATACATAATAAAATTGGGAGTCAAAATGGCATATTTTATAAATAAATGTGTCATTACCAAACTCTACTGAAGAGAAGAAGGAGAGTGAGGAGGAGGCGGGGGGGTGAGGGGAGGGGAACAATAGTAGCACGGATTCTAGTCCCAGCTCTGCCACTTGTGAGCTGTGTGACCCTGGCCGATAAATTGACCTCTCTATTGCTCAGCTTCTTCATCAGAACTCACTATATGGGTTCAATATGAGGTTTCAGGAGCAAGACACAGGCAAAGTGCTAGGACCAGCATCTGCCAGAGCTATAACTAAATAGGGCCCAAGAATACCTGGCACTGTTGGATGGCGCCCAGCTTCCTCAGGTCCTGCTCAGTCTTTACTTGTCCCTCTAACCTTGGCCCACAGTGAACAAGTTCAAGACAGAGCAGGAGCGAAAGTGCTGTGAGGCTGGGCTCCGGGAGAGCCCAATAGGGCTGTCCTGTGACGAGAGGACCCGGCACGTCCGCCATGGACCAACCTGTGTAGCTGCTTTCCTGAGCTGCTGCCAGCTGTCTGAAGCCCTGACTCGGGAGGCCAGGGAGGAGCAGCTGATTCTGGGAACAAGTGAGGGGGCCACAGCAGGAGGCACAGGGTTGGGGGGTTGGGGTGGGAAGGGAGCTATGTGACAGGTCAAGGGATGGTATGGTCCGTGGGAAGTGTGGGAGGACCTCTCTGAGGAGCCTGCTGGGCCAGCCAAGGAAGAGATGCGAAGGAGACCCCACGCCACGCCTGCTCCCTGCAGTGGATGAAGACGACGACTTTGAAGACATCTTCCTGGAGGATCTGCCTATCCGGACCTTGTTCCCTGAAAGTTGGCTCTGGAGGAAATTTACTCTCCCAAAAAGTGACTCAGGGTAGGAGCCTCCCCCGCCCCATTGCCAGCATCTGGTCCCTAACCCTTCCACACATTAGTGGGCGTCCATCATGGCCAAAACCCCCAGTGGCGACATTGAGCTCTCAGCATAGTTCCATGATAGGAACCTCCCTGGATGGGAATACAGATCCCAATGGTTCCCCCAAAATAATGACCCTCTAGAGACAATGCCTATCATAGGATGACCGACTGACCCCTGCATAGTGATCATAACCTCTGGACAGAGGCGACAGAGGCTCTGTCCACACAGCACCAACTCAATGATGCCCCTACTCCCCCTTGCCACTTCCAGGAGCATCTCCCACTACAACATTCTTGCGAACGTGCCAGATTCCATGACCACGTGGCAGTTTGTGGCTGTCAGCCTCAAGGCTGGACAAGGTGACCCCACAAGCCCAATGCCGAGAGGATGGGAAAACATCCAGCCCCAGGACAGTGGCCCTCTGCTTAACTCCAACATGATCTCCTGGTTCTAGGTCTCTGCGTCTCGGATCCCTTTGAGCTGGTGGTTAGGAAATTGTTCTTTGTGGATATTAAGCTGCCCTTCTCCGTGCTCAGGAACGAGCAAGTGCAGATCCAAGCCGTGCTGTACAATTTCGGGAACCGCCAGGTCAAGGTGAAGCCTCCAGCCTTCCCCTTCCCAACAAAACATCTATCAGTATGTTTTATAAAGTGGTTGGAGTGTGACATTATTTGAAAGGGCCAGCAAAGTGCTGACTCTTTTGAAAAAATTCTGAGATGTTTTCTACTTTAAACCTCACAATAACCCCAGCATATGGGTACCATTATTCTTCTCCAGAGATGAGACAGCTGAGGCACAGAGAGGTTAAATGGCTTTCCTGAAATCATACAGCACATAAGTGGAAGACGGGGTTTGAACCCAGGCAAGGTCTTTGCTATCAACCGCTGTGCTGTGCTGTCGCCTACTCAGGATTCTCAGCGTGGAGGCAGGAGGGGACTGTGTCTCTAGGGTCCTGGGCCACTCCATCAATCAAGACCCCCCAATTGCCCACCCTACCCCAGGTCCGCGTGGAGTTCCCTCATAAGGATCCGCTGTGCAGTGCATCAAAGCCAGGAGCCCCCTCCCGCCAGATGGTGGTCGTGCCCCCCAACTCCTCCAAGATGGTGCCCTTTGTGCTTCTCCCACTCGAGACAGGCAAAGTGGATGTGGAGGTCAAGGTTGTGGGCTATGGAGTCCAGGATCACGTAAAGAAGACACTCTCAGTCCAGGTAATGGACTCCCCAAGCTTTATGAGTATGAGAGGGCCAGGTGGGCCCAGGATCAACAAACATTCCTCCCAGGTGGGAGTGGGGCGAGAGAATAGAATTGTAAGTTCAGTCACAGAGCTCCCACTTTGCAACTTTGGAGTCAGGCTTGGGTTCAAATCTTGTCTGGGCTGTGTGACCTTGGGGAACACACTTAACTTCTCCGAGCCTCCATTTCCTCAGTTGCAGACTGGGAATCATCATCATCTCCACAAATAATCAGAGAGCTGTGAAAATTGCACACAACTCATGCATGACCCATCAATAATTCTATATTTTTCTTAACAAACACATGTTTAGCTCTTACAATGCAGCACCTTAAGAATATGAACTCACTGAGCCCTCAGAACAACCTTAGGAGGTAAGATTGTTCTCCCTTTCACAGATGAGAAAACTGAGGCACAGAAAGGTGAAGCAATTTGCCCAAGGTCACACAGCTAGGAAGCAGACAAACTGGTATTTGAACCCACATGTTAGGGCTCCAGAGTCTGTGCTCTTACTAGCTAAGCGATGCTCCCTCTTACTGCCATTGTGAGTGTCATTATTATTGTCGTTTTGTTTTGTTTTTAACTTGCTTCCTCATTGCATCCCACAGGAAGCGGGGCAGCTAGAACAAATATCCTATAGCATCCTCTTGAACCCCCAAGGTTTGTGGGGTCTGCAGGAGGCATGTGGGATCCTGGGGACATGCCAGGGCAGAGGGAGGGGCTAAAATGAGGGGGTCTGGCCAGGTGGGCGGTCTGAGTTCCTCTTGGGCTCTGTACCCGCTAACTTCCCCAGCCCCTGAACCTGATTGTCACAGAAGGTTGTGCCTGCTCAGGTCAGACCCAGGTGGAGCTGTTGCAAAGATGGGACTTTTTGAACAAGATACCCAATACAGAGGCAGAAGTGTTTGTCAGCGTCCAAGGTGCTTAGGGCACAGCTCGCTCCTGGGGGAATGGGGACGGGGAGAGGAGAGCTAGCTCCTCCAGGGCCTGCCTGGGCACAGAGGCAGGAGGGGCTGGGAGTGCCCATGTGGGGCGATTGGGAGGCCATGGTGGCTTAGGCCATTCCGAAGGTGACCTTGCCCACCTGACAGGTGACATCCTTGGTGAGACAATCCTGGGCAGCCTGACACCCAGAGAAAAGCACGAGCTGCTGAGAATCCCGACTGGCTGCCCCGAGCAGACGCTGAGCAGCCTGACACCCGTGATCATCCTGACCCGCTATTTGGACACCACGGGCCAGTGGGGCAAGGTTGGGGTGGAGCACAGGGACCAGGTGATGAAGAACATTGTCAGCGGTGAGTGTGGGTCCCCTCCTGGGACCTCGATGAGTGTGTCTGGGACTCTCTGGGATGGTGACTGGGGTACTCTCAGGGTTGGGGGAGGTCCCCAGGGACCCTCCCAGACAGTAACACCCAAGCTGATACAAACTCCCCAGATGACCCCTCAACAGTGACCCCAAAGAGTCATTTCAAAGTGATCCCTAGATTACTCCTGAACTCTGACTCCTCTTCCACATGACGACTTGATAGCAGGTTCCCCCAGATGACCCTAACAGTGATCCTCTGGTTACTCCTTCACCCAGACGCCCCAGATGCCCCTCCCAAGCCACAATCTGACAACGGACACCCTGGTTTACTCCAAAGAAGCAACCCCCAGGTTATATTATATTGAGACACTGTCCCAGTTTACACCCAATCACTGCCAAGTCCTGGGTTACCCCCAGGAAAATCCCAGGCAGAAAACTCCAGGTTAATCTCAGGTGATGGCCTCCCTCCCAATTACAGGCTGACACCTCCCCAGGTTACATTCAACCCTCCAGGTAATAACCAGAGATGAAAGCCTCCGGTTACACCCAGACAGAAACCCTCAAGTTAACTTGAACACTGACCCACCTCTTCCCAGTTACTTTCAGATACCAACTCTCCACCCAGGTGCTCTCAACAGACACCTTAGGTGACACCCAGACACTGTCAGCCCCAATGTTACACCCAAACAATAAACACCCAGACAACCTTCAGATAACACCCAAATAAAATGCTCAGAATATGCCTGAGAGCTGTCCCCCCAGGCCACACCCAGGAGTAACCTCCTCGAGGCTACACAGGAACACTGACACCCCACTTTGCAGCCAAAAAGGTCCCCCAAGAAAATCCCTAGGTAGTGGCCCTTCAATGTTCCCCCTTTCCTGGGTTTCACCTTCCATGAGACCAGATGGGGTGGTTTCCCAGGTTCCTCCTGGATGCAACTGCACACTGGCTCCCACGGTCATGCCTGGCCATGACCTTCATTTACACCTGTGCCCTGCATCTCCCTCTTTGTACACCTGGACACGTCCCCACTTCCAGATTGCTCCTAGATGGCACGCACCCCCAAGTCACACCCACACCCTGCCCCCCAGATTATGCCTGATAACTGACCCGTCCTTCCCAACCACACCCCAATAGCAAGTCTCCCTGCAAGACCTCCTCCCCCTGTCTCCCCAGGATACACCCAGATGCTGACCCACCGGAGCGCAGACGGCACCTACCACGTCCACAAGGGAAACCCCGGAAGCACCTGGTGAGGACAAGGACACTGGTCTGGAGGAAGTTCCAGGGGCCAGCCTGAGGTTTGGTGACCCCGGGAGCATCCATGCTGCAGGGTCTTGGGGCTGGCAGCCTGTGGGCCAGTGGCATTCTACAAAAATGAGGGGTCATTCTGGAGCAGTGTGGCCCACGGTGTAGACGTCTGCAGAGTGTAGACACCCCTATCGTAGAAGCCTTTTGGCTGCCACTCCCAGTAATCATCCGCCCCGTTGCCCTCCAAACAGGCTTACGAGCTACGTGTTCCGAGTTTTCTCTATGGCCTACCTCACCATGACCATCAGTGTGATCGACCTGTACTCTCTCTGTGCTGTTGCCAAGTGGATCATCACCCAGAGGCAGGCGGAGGACGGGCACTTCTTGGAGGAGGGCCCCGTGATCATGGCGTCAATGCAGGTGCCCATGGCCCCCCTGTTTAGGACATTCAAACAAAAGCCAGGGTTCTGTGCCATGATAGGGGAATGGACTCCTGCCCTGTTCTCAGGTAGAATGAAAAAAAGAAAGAGCTGAAGCCCAGTGCCCAGCATCACCTCCCCCTGCTCTGGACCACCCTACAGTCCATTACAATATGGGAGAAGCGGGGTACATCTGGGACCCCATATCTCCCTCACCCTCACCTCAAGCAGCTGTCCATCCTGGCCTTCCTCCCACTGGGCCTGAGTTCTCCCCACCCCCCAGCCAAAATACCCATTCCTACCCAGTGTTCCTCCACACCAGCCTCTGAAAACAGCTATCCAAAAGCCTGGGCGGTTTCTCCTGCTCAAACACCTTCTGTGGCTCACAGTTATCTACAACAATATCTCTCTACTATATCCCTCTCTTCTGTACCTCCTCCCAAGCCTTAGCCCTCACTACTCTCTGCTCACAGGTTCCTCCAACTCACCTCTATGTCTCTGCTTATGCTGGCCTCTCTGCATGGACTAACCACACTCCATCCCTTTTATTTTTCTTTACCCACCCAAGTTATCTTTTCTCTTTAGATTTAGCTCGGACACCACTTCCTCTAGGAAGTCTCCCCTGAATACCAGCCCATTGCCTGTTTCCATCATTGCATCTATCACATTATTCATTCATTCGTTCATTCATTCAACAATTCATCAAACATTTATTCAACAATTGTTGTGTATCAGGCCTTGTGCTAGGCAGAGGGGAGACACAAGACATTTACAGCCCCTACCTTGTAGAACTCACAAGCTGGGGGGAGAGCAGAAGTTCAACAAATAATTATAGTTAGTGATTTTTAAATCACAATTGGCTGTGTTCCATGAGAGAGAAATACCAGGAAAGATTATTTAATAGGGGTCATGCCTGGACCTGGAGATGTTAGGGGAAGTCTGCAAAAGGAAATGACAATAAAGTAGCAACGTAAAGAAGGAATAGGAGTTTGTGGTGGGAAGAATGGAAAGAAAGCTCCAGGTAAAGTGAACAGCGTGTGCAAAGGGCCTGAAGCTCTGGCATGTTTGTGGAGAGAGAAAAGAGACCAATGTCACCAGAACCCAAAGATGAGGGAGAGAGTGGTCTGTCTTAAGGTGTGAGAGGAAGGAAAGATGTCAGATCCTGAAGACTGCAGGGCCTTGGAGGCCTCAATAGGATCTGAAATTGTCTATTCAGTGTTCACTTTTTCTACACTGCTTCCAGGGAGAGAAGCAGGCCTAGTTCATTGTAGTTGGCAAATGTTTGCTGAATAAAACTCTGGATGAATGAATAAACCCAACAAAGACAGATTGCACCCTCAAAGGAAAGGAAGGTAAAGGATTCAGAAGGATAGTGTGAGCAAGAGTCTGACATGGTACAGGAAGGTCACAAACACAGGCTTCCCGAGCTCAAGCTCACAGATCTGAGTTTTATGCCACCAACAAACATTTAATAGGCACCTACAATGTGCCAGGCACTCTTTTAAGTGCTGGGGACCCGGACTAAGAAAAAGATGAAAATCCTTGTCCTCCTGGGATGGGCATTTTAGTGAGGGGCAGACAGGCAATAAGCATAATGTAGACATAAATGACATGGAGTTTTAGAGGTGACATGGGACAAGGTGTAGGAAAAGAGAAATCAAGGTGATGGGGTTTAATTTTGGAAAGCTTCATGAGGAGATATTTATACAAAAAACTGAGGGGGCGAGGGAGCAAATCATGTGACTACCTAGGGAAATAGTCTTCCAGGCACAGGGAACAGCACGTGCAAAGGCCCTGAGACTGGACTGTGACAGTACATTTGAGGAACAGTAAGGAGGTCGGTGTGGCTGGAACCGAGTGAGCAGGGGGAGGAGGTGAAGACAAGGAGGTGTTGGAAGAGATTGTGCGGGGCCTTGTGGGCTGCAGGAAGAACTTGAGCCTTTCCTCTGAGTGAGGAAAGTTCTGAGCAGAGGAAGGACACGACCTGATTCAAGAGTTCATAGGCTTCATTGGCCACTGTGAGAAAAAGAGACTGTGGAGGGTGCACGAGTTTCCTAGAGCTGCTTCAACGAAGTACCACAAACCAGGTGGCTTAAAACAACAGAAATGTATTTATTCTCTCACAGTTCTGGAGACTAGAAGTCCAAAATCAAAGTGTCAGCAGAGCTATGCACCTTCTGAAGTCTCTAGGGAAGAACCCTTCCTGGCCTCTTCTAGCTTGGTAGCTCCTGGAAATCCTCGGCATTACTTGGCTTGTAGCTGCATCACTCCAATCTCTGTCTCCATCTTCACATGCCCTTCTTCCTTCTGGGTGTCTGCATGGCCTTCTTACAAGAACACTAGTCTTTAGGGATAGGATCCACCCTAATTCGGTATGACCTCTTCTTAACTAATTATATCTGCAAAGATGCTGTTTCAAAATAAGATCACATTCTTCTAGAGTTTTGGGTAGACATAAATTTTGGGGGGACACCATTCAACTCACCACAGAGTTTGAGAGCAGAAGCTAGGAATCTAAAGAGGAGTTTGAACCCTAAGTCATTAATTTACTGGCAATGGGGAGACTTCGCCTCTGTGACCCTCAGTTGCCTCAGTTTCCTTAGCTCCAGTAAAATGGAGCTGCAGAAGGAGAG